GGGGGGGGGGGGGGGGGGGGGGGAGATCTTTTTCCAGGGTAGGTGGTCCAGCAGTCTACGCAGGTTTTCCATGTACGCAAACATACTGGACAAAGTATGGAATCGGCTAAGTTGGGGGTTAGGGTTAGGTTTATGGTCTGCGTACCCCCTGTCTGGGTGTTTTTTTGCAATGAAATTTCGTTTGCTTAGGCAGTCCTGGTCACCACCGTGCGGGGCTCCGCCGGATGCGGACGAGAACGGGTTGGGGGGGAAGGTGAAAGAAGGAAGAACGTTGTTGGCGGAGTCGATGGCAAGCGCTTTTCCGAGGCCAGTTGTTGGGCTCGCTGGTAGACGTTCGTGGTTCGTTCGGGTCACCAAAGAACGACGCAAGGTCTTGAACGCTGCACCTGGTCTTGACTGCTGTACCTCTTTTTTTTTCCCCTCTTGTGTAGGGAGGTCGATCTGCGGGGGTTGGGCCGTGGAAATCCTCGGTCAGACGGTGCCTGAGCTCATCCGGAGGAGTCTCATCTTCTCCAACCTGGATGGCGAAGCCCTCAGGCAGCACGTGCTCTCTGCCGAGGACCAGGTGAGGCGTCTCAAATAGCACTTGTAGCACTGTTGTTGTTGTTGTTGTTTTTGTTGTTGGTGGTGGTGGTAGTGTTGTTATTGTTGTTATTGTGGCTGCTAGTGCTGGTAATGTTGGTGTTGGTGTAGTTGTTGCTGCTGCCGCCGCTGCTGCTGCTGTACTGCTGTCGTCGCCGCCGCTGTCCCCACGGCTGCCCCGCCGCCGCCGCCGCCGCTCCCCTACAAAAACGGCGCCCGTTACATACCCGCTGCTGCCACGACGACTTGACAAGTAACATACCTGCTAAATATTATATTCGTGACGGCGTGCGCACCCGGTCTCAGGAAGCGCTCCGTGGGTCCCTTCGGGCTGGCGGCGTGGTGGGCTTCGTGATCAACGGCGCCATCCTGCCGAGAGAGAGCGGCAACAGCGACCGACCCATGGACGCCACCAAGGTAGGCGTAGTGCGATGTGGTATAGTATCTACGAAACTGCTGTGTGTATGTACCAAACACTATCACGAAACGGTCTCCGAAGAGATATCTACGAAATGGTATCTACTAAAAGGGATCTACGACACGGTATCTACGACACGGTATCTACGACACGGTATCTACGAAACGGTATCGGCACCGCGTGACGAAAAACAGGTTTTTGATTGGATAACGTTGCTGGTTGCTCGGTTGCTGCTTCGTTTTAGCTGATGGGGTGACAAGAAGGCTGAATCGCTGTGTATGTAGTTATTGTTGGGTTGGGTTGGGTGCCGTGGCGGTTTGCGCGACATTTTATCGTCGTGGAGTCACGCGGTCACACGGTACCACCCTTTCTTCCCGGCAGTTTTTTTTTTTACTCTCGCAGAATTGTTTTCAAGGTCGATTTCACAGAAAGACGTCTAGCGGGTATTCAATCGTGTATATACAGTACACCCTCGAGTGTTTTCTGGAAATACTGTATCGTGCGGTACAGTAGCAGTTGTCCGCTACATTCCCCGGAATGGGGGGGGGCGGGCCCTAAATTCACGGTAGCCAGAACTCTGTGTACACACAAGATGCGCCAAGTGACCGCAAGGACGCACACAACGCTCGGCCTCCCCCATGATGCTCCCTGACGGGGTCCCAGATCATTGGAAGCATTTCCTGTTTTCAACCGCACTGAGATTGACGTCTTTTCATTGGTCAGCCGGCTGGCGTGGTCGATGCTAAGAATACGAAACACACACACGCGCGCCCCGCGGGCACTACTTTCCATATCTCGCAGGCGATTCCGTTCACCAGCCCGCCCTCCCTGGAGAAGACCTTCACGCTGCCAAACAGGGGCACCGTGACGGGCATGGGCATACCCCCGGGGGTGACCCTCATCGTCGGCGGAGGGTGAGCACGAAGCTAGCATGTTTCCCTTCGTTTCGTCCTTGATTTCTATTCCATGTTCGCTCCGGTGTAAGTAGGGTGATGTCGAGGACAAGCCAACACATTGTACCCACTCTCTTCCCGTTTTGTTTTATATATTTTTTCTTACTTTAACAAATACTTAAACACAACGAATCCATCTCTATCCACCCTTGTGACTTCTCCCGACCGGCACGGGCCACCTTTTGTTGCTTTGTTCCCTACTTTTTATCTAAAATAGTATCGCTTATACCGCTGCCGCTAACGCTGCGGTAGTACATTTTCGGCCCTATTTTCTTTTGCCGTCAATGTGAATTGTGAAGTCTATCTACCTCCCTCTTACTTACAAGAGAGTAGGGGCATGTTGTTTCACGGTATGTACCGTACCGCACCGTGCCGAAGAAAAAACCTTTGGGATTTGAGGTGTTCACATACACACACGTGGGTTGCAACAATACTTTTGATTTCATCTCGCGTCCAACGTACCCTTCTAAGACCGAGGGTAGTTCTTACTGCATTTTGCGGTGCCCCTGAAATCATTCGCCTTTTGTAGGGGGGGGAGGGGGGGAGGGGTGCGCATCTTCTGCGCTCAGCACTTGAGGAGATGTGCATTGTTATTCACACAGAAGACATGAATCGGTATTATACGATATTCTCAAACTTGGCTCTCTGGCGGCGTTTGTGAACAGAGGGAATCCTCCTCGACTGACGTTGGGAGTTCGTTTGCATACTTTTTTGTGAAGGTGATCCCCACACGTTGTTCTGTTTTGTTTTTCTTCAACCCAGGTTCCACGGCAAGAGCACGATAGAAGTCGCCCTGCAGGTGGGGTGCTACAACCACATCCCGGGAGACGGCCGGGAATTCGTTTCCGTGGAAGCCAGCGCGGTCAAGGTGAAAACGCCTCCTCTCATCATTTTTGTATGATAACAGTTTTCGGGGTATTTTTCATGAAGAAGGTGACGACCCGAAACGCCTCAGCGCGGTCAAGGTGAAAAGCCCCCCTCTCGTATTTTTTGTATGAAAACAGTCTTCGGGGTATTTTTCATGAAGAAGGTGACGATCCGAAAGGCCTCCTCTCATATATATATATTTTTTTTTCTTAATATGACATAATTTTGTATGATAATAGTCTTCGGGGTATTCTTCATGCAGAAGGTGACCACCCGAAACGCCTCCTCTCACAGTGTTATATGATAGTATTCGGGCTATTTTCCATGAAGAAGTAAACGACCCGAAACGCCTCCTCTCACAATGTTGTTGTATGATAATCCTCGGGGTATTTTTAATGAAGAATGTGATAACCCGAAACGCCTTTCTCACGATTGTTTCTCACACTGTTAGGCCATCTCTTATGGAAGGTCTGCATTTTGTCTGGAACCCACGCAATCAGGTGGAAATTCCCAGGCCAACAGAGAGCAGCTGCGATTTTTTAGATCAACCCTGACGGTCGGAAAAGGGAAAACACTGGCTTTGACTCGACAGACCACCAAGACGGACGCTTGACAGACCACCAACTGACGGTTGGTTCCTTTCGAACCACCACATATAGACTACACACACACGACAGACATCGACAGCGGCTATGCCGTATGATCGTGAGGGAGACATACACACACACACCTACCTCTGTTCTTTGTTGGAGCAGCAGCACATGCATACATCATCAGCAGACAACAAAAAAAAGCAAATGTACTTGTAAATGATGAGAGCATGCAGCAGCAGCGACAGAAAAGAAGGGCGTCCTCTTTGCCTCTACCAAATGCTTTCCATGTACACACAATCCTGTGGCTCGCTCGTGGACGACAGTATTAGGGGTTGGTTGTCGATTGGTGGATGCTGTATAAGTATTCAAGATCCGATCTGTATCATCACGATACATATGGCGACATCTACCTACACGCCAACGCTCGAAAACACGGTGCACGCGGGTGCGGCGCCAACAAACGTGCAATTGGTGCCGCGCGCGTGCAATAACCCCTGCACAACGACGTCAGACCCGAATCCTAGAAAAAAAATTCGTCTCCAAATCGCAGATGGAACTTCGATTCCGGGGTATATACGATTTGAACTCGCAGATTTCCGGCAAATAACAGCACCATAAGGGTTGGTGTGTCCTGTCTGCCTCACTAAAAACCCAAATCTCAGCAACTGCAGACCTTCCATAAGAATTGTTCTCACAATGTTATATGATACAAGGTCCCCCTTCGGGACGTTGGTGTCAGGCCCCCCGGGGGTGACGCAAGTAGGAAAGGAAGTAGTGAAGTCATGGATTAAATTGCAAAGTTCGGTAGTGCTCGCCCCCGTACAAAACATCGCATGTATCATGGGACGGATGTGGCAACACGAAAACCATTTTGGCGGAAGGGGAACGATGCGTTGGTAGCGGCGCTGGAGGCTTGCCGGCTTTGGCGAGGCATGGATATACGGTGTATTGACGGAGGGAGAGAAAGAGGGTGGAAGCTGCTCTGGCGGTGTGAGCTGTGATTTGTGATGAGAGGGAGGGTGTAGAAGGAGTAGATGCAAGGAGAGCCATTGTGAGAGCGAGTGCGGGCAGCCGAATATTTGCATGCCACGGCAGATTTTTGCTTTTGGAACAGATTTTTCTTTTTTCGTGTTGAATCGGACATACTTTCGCCTGTACATGATTAGACACATTGTTCTGCACATGACAAGCCCGAGAAGGAGTACTGATGCAGATGCATACACCCCGCCGTAATGTACGAATAAGTGTTGTTGCTGTGGCGTATCCATCCGTGCGGGGAGCGTGCAGCTGGCGCAGTGATGGCCGGCCAGTGATGGCGCGTACCCTTCAGGACAAAATCGGAGGTTTGACCTATGAAGAAAATATCCGAAAAATTCAGTAATCGGCACGTTTCTACCTGCCAGGTTTTTCGTTTTGAGCTTGTGTTGAATCGGACTTTTTTCCTGTACATGTACAGACACAAAGTTCTATACATGACCAGCCCCGAGAAGGAGTGCTGATGCAGGTGCATACACCGCACAGTATGTGTGAATAAAAGACATGTGTTACTGCTGTTGTGAATCCATCTGTGGGGAGCGTGCAGCTGGTGCAGTGATGGCCCGGACCCATTCGGAGAAAGTCGGGGAGATAGATTTGACCAATGAAGAAAACATCCAAAAAATTCTGTGACTGGCATGACGTGTTCTAATCAACCATGGACTATGAATTAGGTCTGTGACCATGTATCTTCCACACAATACAATTGCAAATCGGAGGTGAGAGTTCAAAGCAGAGTCGCGGCCCCGAAGCTGTGGGTGAAGAACCACGTTACATAGAAACGTACGCATGGACACACACAGTGTAGAGGCCGCTATGATGCTACACCGATTAGGAACCATCGAAATGATTCCAAAAAAATTGCGACCGTGTTCTCTAAACTTGCTGGGGAAGCATCTCCTGGTATACAACAGAGAGGTTTCAGGAATTGGTTCGGGAGGCATTGTCGTCGCGGAACGCGTCCCCTGGGTTCTGAGCCAATTCTCGCAACTTTGACGGTTAACTACACGCGCCACGGAGGTCTGCCGAGCTCCGGACACGGGCGTTAATGTACCGACGGGCCTCCTGCGTGCCCCTGGGAAGGAACAGCGAGAAAAGACTCGCTGGGGCGAGAGAAAAAAATGCCGAGGCATGAAAAGTGACCAAATCTTATATGTACATATTAACGTCCGGGGTATTTTTCATGAACCGGAAAACGCTTGCTCTCACAATGTTGTTGTATGATAATCCTCGGGGTATTTTCATCGAGGAAGGTGACGACCCGAAAACGCCTCCTCTCAACGTCGTATGATACAGCCGTAGTCTTCGGCATTATTATTCATGAACAAGAGCTGCTTTCCTCCACGAGCGTTCGTGTGCGCGTGCGTCGGTGGGCCTGCGCGCGCATTTTAGATTTTGTTTTATGTCGTCGTCGTTGTAGTCGTCTTCGTCGTTGCCGTTGTTTTGTTTATGGTGGTGTCGGTGGTGTTGTTTATTTTTGCGGTTTAGATTATGCCGTTTGTTTTGTTGTTGTTGTTGTTAATGGTGGTGGTGGTGGTGTTGTCGTCTTTGCCTTGACGCTAACAACCGCCGCTCTGGCGTCAACGCGATACCTCCTCTTCCGCGCTAAATAGAGCTATTAATAGTAGATGATACAAGGTAGGAGGTAGGAGGTAGGAGCGCATCACATGTCCACCATCCTTGCTTGTGTTTTTTTTTTTAGTCCATGGCCCTTCAACGGTTCTTTCCATCTTGTCCCTGCGCTTTTGTGGAACGATACTCTTATCATTGCGACAAATCAACCCGACGAGACGAGCATCGTCGGGCGTTGCCTGTCTGAAGCTGATTGCTCTCTGTCACCGGGTACAGCCGCGGGCGGAATAGACGGCTGGCTAACTTGTTTTGGAACGATCACTGACGAACGTAATGGATGGATGTACAACGTGGAGAAGAGACAGGCTGGTGCGGTGAAGAAAAAGACAACTTCCATGGAAATGGAAGCACGCCAAAGTTCATGGAATCAATTTGCATGGAAGTGGTTGCCAGAGTCTATTTCAGAAAGCACGCCAACTTCCATGCAACAGCTAGCTCTGGTTGGCACACGCACACATGCATATATTTGAGGGCGTAGCAGCGTACATATGACGGATGGCTGCGCAAACTTACTCTCTGACGAAGTCGGTCCCCATTGGGAGAAGTCAATACCACAATAATAATACCTTCCAGGGAGGAAGTAAATTTTTACTATTTCGTTCGAGCTGCACTCATTTAATTTGTTACACAATGTGGTATGCACAGGAGATCGGAAACAGCGCACATGCTGGCACACACGGCACGCGCAAGAATCTCTCATCGGATCTCTGAATGCATTTCTGGCCGTGCTGAATAATGTGTACGCGTGCGTGCATGAAGATGTATGTATGTATGTCTGTGTGTTCACAGCAATATCTATCTACCACTGCTGATGCGGATGATGATGTTGGTTGCAAGCGGACATTTGAGATTCACCTTCTCCCGAGAATTGCTTTCGAGAAGGAAAAAAAGAGCGACCGTGGTATCTCGAACGGGTGGTCTTTCTGTGAGATCATGTGTACTTTCTATAAAAAGCAGTGGAGACAGGATGACGTCGGACCGACCGGAAATAGCGCGCACGGTTGCACACGTGGTCGCACACTTCTGGCGCATGCAGCACATCGGCGCACCGTATGCATGCGCTTTCGTCGTATCATGACTTGTTGGCACTACTATTGTTGTAGGTCGTGTTGGCAAATCTCTCGGCCCACACGCACTTTCATATACTAAGCCACCACTCACTGTGAGTAGTGAACGAAAGCCATTGGTTGCTGCAAAGCGGACACTTGAGTTTCAACCTTTTTTTTTTTTTCCGGAAACTGTTCGAGAAGACAAGAATAAGCGATCAATACAGCATGACGGCGAACCACGACGAGCAGAGAACCAGCGCGCGCATGTTTTCGTTAGAAAATTCGAAAATACGAAAATACGAAAATACGAAAACGGTTTCACCTCGGATAAGAAAACACCTGGCTTTTTGCTAACAAAAGTGTCCTTAAGCCGGGGAAGCGTCCTAAAAACATTTGTAGGTTGATACCCTTCCTTGTGTTTTACATTCTGCGAGCCACCATACCACCTGTGAGAAAAATACTGTCCTTAACCTTAGGGAGTTTACTTCTGCTGTATGATGAATACTTGTTGTAGGGATTTCTTTTTTTCTGGCAAGAAATAACAGGATCCCCGGGATTGCTTCAATCACGCGAATAGCCGGGGTTCGCCATGGGCAAGATGGACAATAATGAGCATGGGAAAAATCGAAACTGTGATGCTACGATACATAAATAAACCAGTAGATTATCTGCTACTGTAATAATTACTTAATATTGTTGTCCTTAACCGAGGCACGACTGTAGTCTAAATGACAACAAGGCGGCGAACCGGTGAATGAGGAGAGAAACGTGTGGTTTCACGTGGTTTCACACTTGTGGTGTAGGCTACTCCGTGCGAAGGGTGATGAACTTCGGCGAGGGGGCCATGACTCGCGATGCCCTACCGAGGCATACTCAATATATCGCGAGACGTGCGCCATAGGTCGAGATCGGCTTTTAAGACCCGGTCTGGCAAAGGGTTGGGGTGTCAGAACAACAGGCGAACACGCTCGTACGCACTGCGATAGAATTTAGTTTCCATCGGAGAGACTGAAGCTTACAGCTTGAGAAATGTTGGATGTGTGTGTGTGTGTGTTTCTGTTTTTTATTTTTCTTGCAGGTGCGGGCGGAGGACGGTCGGTGTGTGAACTGCGTTGACATCACCCCCTTCATCGACAACCTGCCCTTTGGCAAGTCCACCGACCAGTTCACCACCCCGGACGCCTCGGGGTCTACGAGCCAGGCCACCAACATCGTCGAGGCCCTCGAAGCGGTCAGTGCTCGCTTCCTGCTGTTGTCGTCGGTATTAATTATTGTTGATGTTGTTGATGAGATTATGTTGTTGTTGTTGTTGATGTTGTTGTTGATGTTGGATTTGATGTAAATGATGGTGTGGTTGATTATGTTATTGTTGTTGTCGTTTCTCACATGAAGGCGTACGCGAGGTGTTGACCCGGTAAGAGACTGGCAGGGAACTTGTAGATTTTGACATCCGTTGCAGGTGGTTTTGTTGAGTTGACCACTCGTTTCTCAGCGTATGGGCATGGAGAGACTCACGCAAGTCCAGTATCCAGCAGGTGATGTCACTCAACCCCCGAACGGACTATTTGCCTCAAACGGGAAGTTCCTCCGTGTGGTTCTACAACGGATATTTAAAAAAAAAGATCGGAAACCCGTTTTGCGTTTTCGTGTGTGCTCTCGCCTCCTCTCGTCCTCGTCCCCTTAAGCCCTACCCCCCGACACTACAGCTCTTGCCCCCACTCACGCGCATAACATAGACAGACAGTAGTCTCAAAGGCTCTACGG